TCATCATCATGACACACGCGTGTGAAATGCGTGCGTAAGATGCGATAGGTCGAAAATAACATATGTGAAACAATCCGCCGTGATTTATATGGCCGGCCACCCAAGAATGGCCACCTACGTGTTATGATGCATCGAGGCGATGCTCACTTTGAGAGAATTCAGATAAATTTTCGCGCAAGGCGCTGTACAAGAATTTCAGTTGTTAAATAATTACAACTATTCTCTCTCTCTCTCTCTAGTAGATAATATTGGAACCGCTCATTAAAGCCGTACATTTACGTACGTTATTTAATTCATACCTTGAGATAAAAGTATTACCTTACATAATAAATAATCAACTTGTTCTGTAAATTTTCATCAAATATAAACAATTATCTACACAATAAGAATTAAAAAATTAATTTCTTTTAAGTACACGAATTGTTTGTGTAACTTTACGCACTTCTTTCGCAGCGCAAAGCAATACGTACACGGAGAGAATTTTCTCTCAAAGTTCACCCTGAAAATCATGTAATCGTGGGACAACATGGCATTTTGAAGAACTTTACGAGAGTTTTCTGAAATTTTGCCATACATTTTACTAGTAAAATGTGCACTAACAATAAGTATAATTACTAATAAAACGTTATATGGCAAAATTTCAAAAGACTCTCATAAATTTCTTGGAAATGCCGCGTTGTCCCACGATTACATGATTTTCAGGATAAATTTTACGAGCAAATTCTCTCTGTGTAGGCCGAGATGATATATACGAGATAAAGCGGGAACCCCTCCTTTACCTAAATGTCTGACCACTACGTTTTTATAGTCATTCGTATTCCTGTCACCAAGCGTTGACCCGTTTACTACTTTAGCACGGCTTATGAAATTCGGTCCATCTTGAAATGTACCTCTCAAGAGACGATATCAGAGAAAAACTTCAGGCAGAAAGAGAGACACGTGTTGAAATATTTTCACATTTTATTCCTGTTCGCAAAATGGGCATACTTTTATCTAAAACATCGATTACGTAAAGAACATTCGCGCATTTTTTTTAACTTACACGCGCTAAAATTATGCATTAATTCTCGATGCAGCGAAAAATTAGTTTAACTCAATGTACGCGCAAATATTTCTTATACCCAGCGAGAGCGGTATAACAGTCTACGTAAAGTGTATTAGAAAATTAATTCCTAGTTCCAGCGGCAAAAAGCTTTTTAACTTGGTTATTTTCCGAGATTCACGTGTGCCACGTACGCGGAAATTAATATCCGTCCCTTTAACGAAAATAGATTTGCCCGGTGGAGGATTAAAAGTACGGTCGAATTGCGCTGTCGTCGATATATGCGCCACGTAATCCCAATGATAAGCGAAAAGTTTCGCGGAAACTAATCCCGCGGTTCAGTTTGATTTCGGAGTTTTCGCGTGGTTTTTAATACCGCAATTTTCGCCCCTTTTTTCTACCCCGGGACCGCGTAAGCCCGGGTCGAAGCTAATTCGTATCGGCAGCCACTATTCGGCCTGTGTAGATTAAAAAAGGATCACGCTAGCCGCGCGACTAGACGAACCCTCGGGGCACCTGTTGATCCTTCTCGTTAAAGTTTGAAGGAAGTGACCTGTCCTAGTCCTGCAGACACGCAAACGCCAAAGCAAGACGGCGAGACACGAAAAAGTAGCGCGACACGCCGTCAGCTCAACTGACAAATCAGATTTTTCCTGCTCGGTCCGACATGAATATACATTACATTATCCATTAAATCCGGACCTATACCGAGGTTATCTTTAGCGCTATTTCACGAACCTGAGCCGGCACTTTGGAAACCTCGATTTTCTACAGAGCTACTCACACTTCGTCCGCGCGATAATGTTAGACAAGATAGTTTTGCATAAAATTATCTGGGGAATATGATTTACATACAAAGTGCTGTGTAACTACAGCCACGCCTCTCTATTTGGATACTAAAGGACAATGGTGGTTCTTGTAATGTTTAGACAGATGCAACACAGCGTCCAAGAAAAGCCCAATAAAGAATAAAAGTGTTCCGACAAATTAAGTATCAAGATATAAAATAACAAGCACATTTTTCAATTGTCGAAATGGATTTCATAAATCAAATTATAATGTATTAGTTACATTAAAACGGTTAAGTAATTTACATATTCGTCTTTTAGTACTAAACATTTTTTTTCTAATAAGTCGAATTAATTTTAGTATATTTTTCTATTAACTATCTTTCTTTTAAAAAATTAGAAACGGAATCTGGTAGAAATGCCATGCATTTTTTCAGCAGTTACTAAATAGTTGCATTAACTTTTGTCTAGTAACTGAGAAGAAAAACTACTTGGAATTCCAATCCAGATGCAACGCCTTTCTTACGGTTACTGCACATAAAAATGCGCAAAATCTGAACTCAATTACTAAACAAGAACAAAACAATAAGTATTTTAATAAATAACAATCTGTCAATACTAGACAATAACTGGGCAAATGTCTAAGCAAACTGCATATATTTTTAACAGAAAAACTGCTCAGCACTGACAAATAAAACTCTATCAAGTTCTTGTCCATTTTCTATGCAGTATTGTTAGAACTAATAAGAATGCGGTAATACTAGACAGTAACTGGAAGGGTGTCTAGAGAAACTGCATACATTTCTACCAGGGATATTTTTTGTTTTTTTTTTAAACAAATTATGTTTCTATATGATAATCTAACATATGAAGATAAATCTATTAGAGTTTCAAGTATTAGATCGCCAGTGTTAACTTAATTAACAGTAAGGTTGATTAATCCGACACAACTGGCTACAGGAAATTTTCCTTTATTTAAAACACAACGTTTTAACTTCTTGATATATTTAATCTTATTTAACTTAACGTATATAACAATTTATTAACTTTTTCTCTCTATTTAATTTATTTAACTTTACACTTGTCACTGATTGGATTGATGTGTAACATACATATAAGGTATTATCCAGACTTTCTCGTTTCTGTCTAGTGGGCCTAATGGCATTTGGCCACATGCTATACGCCGACTTTATGTTGTAATACACTTGAAAAGGGCCAAAACCCATGGCTGAAACGTAGTGTTTTAAATAAAGGAAAATTTCCTGTAGCCAGTTGTGTCGGATTAATCAACCTTACTATAAATCTATTAAACTCTCAAGTTTTTTAAGGTGTTTTTCGTAAAAAGAATCGTACGATTTTTCAATTCAACGAACAACATTGTCCGCTGTCCGATTTTCTCTCTCAATGCTCACACTAGATGGTCAATGCAAACTAGTTGAATCCAATTTTTCGGAAGGTTCTTTCGAAAGACTCTGAACGGGGGGGGGGGTGTGTGGAGTCACCTCGTATTTGGCGGCAATGTTGTGTGGAGCAAACCGCGATCGGCGAGGGGTGCGATTTCAATAAAGAAGAGAATTACGCTTCGAAACATTTGTAGCTTGACCGTAGCCCTAGACAAACGATCCAGTTCGCACGAATGGTAACAAGTAGGTGCAACTATCAGGCGGTCCTCTGTGACTCGGGTTACACGCGTGATTGTCAGCTGTCCGAACGAAAACGCAACAAAAATACCATTGGCATAGATTCGGCCGGGCAAAAATAGCGGCTATGTCGTAAAATAGAGGAACAACCCGGCGCTTCCGAGGCATCGAGCGTGGCGGCGTTCGCGGCTTCGCCGCGGAAGAAATGAGCCCGAGACTTTTCCGCCCGTGCCGGCGCCCGTTTCCGATATCGAGCCGAGAAAGGGAGGGAAGAAAATCCGTAGTTTAGGGGGGAAAGAGAAGAATTTTATAGACCAGTAAATTCCAAGAGAATAATGAGCTTTCGGGCCACACTAATACCTCCACCAGATGGAATTTACTGCACTCATCCGATGATTAGATTGAATAATTAGAGGGCCACGAGCTTTAGAAGCTACGCACAGTACAGTTGCGTATGATGTTTGGCAAATTTCAAGCTTTTTTAAAAAAATTACGATAGAAGATTTAATGGAGCAAATAATTAATATTAAAAGATTTCGAAAGTTAAATATAAATAAAATGGCGTATTTATTGCATTTAGACGAATTGTAAACTGTTTTAAGTTGCGCATTCCATAGCGTACACAAAATAGTAAGATGTGAGAGCTGTAAAGAAGTTTGAGCTGATGATATCTAAATTTTTAATTTCGTGCGAATTTAGAGCCTTATAAATTATTCACGCACCAAAGCAGTAATAATCTGGAAAAGTTGGAAAGCGCGATAAAGCGTGCACGGAAACGCGCGTTATCGAAATAATTCAAAGTGCAAAACACTAAGTGTCAAAGTTGCGCGCAAAAACAGCTACGTACGGGCAAGGGACTGTGACGATCTCGTTAAAAAGTTATAACGACGCTAAAGTTGGCCGCCAGATTGTGTCAAATACTCGAACTCTCGTGCACTTCGACGGGCAATTCACTTGTACTATACGGGCCGGGTGCATAACTCGTCGCATTGTAAGTATACCACTGCACTCCGTCGTCGTGCTGAGTTACACGAGTTGTAAATGCGAAATTCGCAAAAATCGATTTATCGACAGTTTCTCCGCCCGTGCGAACAAGTTTCGCATAAACGATCGGCTTGATCTAAATATTTATACATCATTCTCTGGCGCTTTGCAACGGTTTTCTAAAATAAAAACTGCGCTCTGCTTTCACACTCGAGGACGACGCAGGTCCGTTGGTGAAAATGATATTAACACATTGAGATTAACGGCAAAAATTGACATGCGAAAAAGAAGCAAGTGTATTAAAAACGTTGCAAAACACGTTTCTTTAACGGGCGTGCGAGGTATAGTAATGATTCGCCCTTAGAAGAAAGAAACAAGATATTTCTAATCGGTTGGACATCGATGCGTGTGTATGCGTGTGTGATAATTGTAATTTGCATTGATTCAAATAAAAATAAAGAAGCAATTGAAAATGATCTTTGCGTGAGAAAGATAAATTGATAACGTGCAATTATCTGAGGCATCGTTATAAGAAAAAGTATTTACCCCAGCGTAGTCATCGTGACGATGGTGTACCAGAAGGCGGAAGGTATCGAGGTGAAGTTGGTGCCGTCGACGTTCTTCTCCGCGTAGAACATGACGGTGGCGAAGATGATGATGGCCATCGCGAGCGAGAAGACGAGGAAACCAAGCTCGGAGGCGCAGGACTTAAGAGTGTAGCCCAGAATACGTAGTCCCTGGGAGTGACGCGAGAACTTGAAGATACGGAACACGCGGAACACCCGCAGCGTCACGAACGCGCCCGACACGTCGTCGTTGTCGGTGATCCCGAGTCCGATGTAGTACGGCAGTATCGCCACCACGTCGATGACGGACATGACGGAGCGCGCGAACTTGCACCGGCTGGGCGCGGCGAACAGCCTGAGCAGGTATTCAGCCGTGAAGATCATGACGCACGCGGTGTCCAGGCAGAAGAAGACGATCTTGTAACGCTCGCCGCACGAGAGGGTGCCGGCGCGGCCCGGGCGATTGCCGCACGGCACGGTCTCCACCACGTTCGCCAGCACGCTCACGGCGATGAAGAATCCGGTTACGTAGTAAAACACCAACGCGGCGGTGGAGGTGTGCGGGTTCTGGAAGGCTCGCCACATCTTCTGCCGGATGTCGAGCAGCTGCACGAGGTTCTGGTCGCCGTTCTCGCTCAGCTTGTCGTCCATCAGCCGCTCGGCGTTCTCGCGCTTGCGATCTCGGTAGTCTTCGTAGCAGCAGTCGCCGATCACATCCGGCAGGATGCCGAAGAACGCCAGTTCCTCGTCGTAGCTCGTCAGGCACTCGTGCTTCGGATAGTGCAGCTTGCCGGTTCTATAATAGTTGAGAATGTGCCGGAAGATGTCCGGGTCCCGGTCGAAAAAGTACTCCTTGCTCTCCTCATCGTAGAAGAACTCGCGCTCGTTCGAACCAAGCAGCGTGTCCGGATACTTCTCCAGGGTGTTGCGCCACGTCTCGAAGCGACGGCCGCTCACGTTGATGAGCAGCTTCTCGTCGTCGGCCTTGCGCCGGTCCTTCGGGATCGGCGGCGGTGGCAGTGGGTGTGTGGCGATCGGTACCCAGCCGATCGCCGCCGCACGGGCGAATGGCAGCCACGCTGCCACCGAGGCCATACTTGAAGGTGGAATCTTCCTTCAGGGTAACGGGAGAGCCAACGTTGATCCGGACCGTTGCCGGCGAGTTCTACTCTTGTCACGTTGAATCGATCTTCTATACGTCCGGACCCTCTCTCTCTCTCTCTCTCTCTCTCTCTCTCTCTCTCTCTCTCTCTCTCTCTTTCTCTTCGGAGTGGCGATCTAGATCTACGACAAGTTCAACATCGATGATCCGACCCGCATCAATCACTTACGGTGGATACTCGCCTCGATGGATAAAATCCTTGGACGTGTAGAACGTTTTTTCGCCGGCCCGACATTTACGGCACCGCGCGCCGCTTGAACGTTAGTTATCGTCGCTATCTCGACGATTACTCCAAATATCTTTCTTGCGACGAACTTGAAACGATTTTTTACATTTGCGACTGGCAACTCTCCAAAGGTTTCTTCTACATACAGATTCAATGAAGCTTTTGAACTTAAAGACCTCCCCACTCCAATTTGCGGCGCGCAACCACGCCGCTTCTTGCCGCGATTCTTCTTGGGTCAGCTCGGGCTGATGTTTGTTTGATTCATGCTTCTTCAAGTCCGCCGCGCGATCAGCAGTACGACTATTGGCCTGGATCTTTCTCAAAAAAACGATCACATTGCTAATCTCTATTTTTAATTCAAGTTCCTCTCGGCCTCTAACGTTCTTCTAATCTGATCTTAAGTCCAAGATCTACTTGCTACGTCTTCCTTGCTAGCGCCAGCTCTTCTACTTCCATTTACTTATCTCGCTTATTTACCTACGAATCTATTTATCTACTCTTTCTCTCTCTCTCTCTCTCTCTCTCTTTCTCTCTCTCTCGTCGGCTGCGTATACTTAATCTTTTCAACAAAGCTTTTCCTCGCGGGAAAACGGGCTCCGTTTTCCCCTATCGTCGCTCTCGTTCTCTAAAATGCAAATATCGAAACAGTCTCTTACAGAGACCCGTCGCGACTCGCTGCATTCGTCGCTACAAAATTTCGTGAGTCGCGTCGAAGAATCGTAATTAACTGACCAAGTAACGTTTGCCTCTCCAACGTCGCGGCGACGACGACGACGACGAATACGACGACGACGACGACGACGACGGCGGCGGCGGCGACGACGATGATGACGACGACAATGACATCAGCGTCGGTGGCCTAAGCTCGGGCACGATCCCGAAGATCGTCATTTCACACCTGGCATCCCGCAAGGTTCTCCCTTCCTCTAACTCGGTCTCTTGAGGAAATATCGAGCTTAACGAAGTGACGACCGGCACGCAGCAAAACACGAGCCGAGCGGAGACGCGCGCCGGGCCAACCAATCGCGTTCTGGCAACGTGCCTCCCATCATCATCGATAGTCACGCGATAGCTCTTCGTAGTACTCTTCAGAGTATCGCGCCTGAGATCTTCCACCTGTTTCGGCCCGCTTGGCCGCCGCGAGAGCCTGAGCTTGAGTCTCCGCCAGCAAGCGCCCACCAGGACACTACATTCTCGAGCTTTCGAGCTCCCCGTCGGGTCCCTACATAGATACGAGTGCACTTCTCGGAAAAACGACTATCGACGACATTACTCGTCGACGAGACTCGATGCCTCTATCGAGCCGGGGTCACATTCAAACCGCACGAAACTCACATAACGAAACGTTCTCTCTTATCAACAACAAGGAAGAGTGTTTCAAAGGCTGTAGAGAGAAGATGATCACGACACTTGAGAAAATAAGTCTAGAATCCTTACTCTACGAGAAGATTAGAGGTTTCCGTAAAATTTCCCTTGTACACTTCGTAGCTGGCAAAGATCACGCGTGCAACTTTTCACAGAATATTATTTGAAACATCTCGTGTATCGAGATGCGAGCTTAACCCAAAGTGTTATTCACTTGCGAATGCCAGTTGGCTGAAGGCGAGAAGAAATTCGTTTCTTGCTACGAAGCTTCCGTGTATTATTCGAGCGCACACTCGCAAAACCCGGTCACGTCTGTGAAATTGAAATCTGCATGGGTGAAGCCTCGCCGAAACCGCTTATAGAGTAGGGGAGAAAACGTTTACGAGCAAACATCAAACAGTCAACGAAAGAGGAGTGTCCGCGGCATTCCGGTGTACTTTTTGAAAGCCCCGCCGTGCCTCGCGTCCGAACAAAAAGAGGCGTTTGTCGCCCGCTCGAGGACCGTACGCCGAGCGAGTCTCGTTCATCGGGCGCTCCGATCTCGAAATACGCGCGCGAGCTTTCCTTCGATCGCAACGCGCGCTCCGTCTGTCCTCGTATGGTCCCAGACTGGTGGTTCCGCGTGGCTCTTCCGGCGATTCTGGATCCGGAGCGCAAGCACTGCACGCGTCAAGCTCGCCTGTCAAGCTCGCGCGACGCGTCGATCCGGAAGTCCCGAAAGCACGCCAGCCGGTCGAAAGCCTCTCCCCACGAACAGAGTTCTTCCCGAGAAGGTAGCGCGTCTCCGCAAGCTCCGGCACTGGGAGCTCGCACGTCGATCTTCCCCCTCAGGCGTCCGCCTGGACTATTCTCCGCAAGCTTGCGCGCACTACGTTCCGCTCACAAACCCGATTCTCTCTCTCTCCCTACCCTCTCTCTCTCCCTCTCTCTCTTTCTCTTTCTCTCTTGTCGTGTACCCGATGCTACTTCGTGCGCGAGTACCGCTCTCTCGTCTGAGCTTTTCCACCGCTGCTCCTCCCGCTGCGCGATGCGATGCGATGCGATGCGACGCGACCGTCGCGTACGTGTGTGTGTGTGTGTGTGTGTGTGTGTATGTATGTGCGTGCGTGTGTTTGCGAGTGCGTACAAGTCACACGTACGCGTAAATGTGTTGTACGAGCGCGCGTAAGGTGCCTGTACGCGCGCGGCACCGTCGCCAGGACCGACCGCGATTTGGAGCACCCGCTCGATGAGTTGGCCGCTCGCGACTGCCGGAGCTTAGCTTGGCTTGGCCCGCGGCGCGGCCCCGAGCCCGTTCGTGGCCGGTTTGCGCGCGGCGTGGTGTGGCGTGGCGGTGCGACGGTGACAAGTCCGGCGGCCCGGCACCTCCAGGGAAGCGTGGCCCACGTCGCCTCGCCAGAGCGAGCGGAGCGGCCGCGTCGCAGCAACGCCGATTTGCGAGCGCGGAGCGGTCACCTAGCCAAGGTCTAAATTGATTTTTACGGCGACGGCGGCGGTGGCGACGCGCGTCGGCGTCCCGACGCGGCGAACGTTCCCCGTTGCCCGGGCAACCCCTCAACGATGACGTCACGGTTTCCACCGCTACCCCCTTTGCGCCCGCCGCCGCCGCCACCCGCCATCCGCCACCGCCGCCGCCGCTGCCGCTGCCCCCGTATTTCCACTTTAGCCTACTTGCGCTTTGAGAAACGCTGGCTTTCAGCTTCGCCCGCTCGTTCCGCGCTTCGCACGGTTCTCTTAATGAGAGGGAAAGAAAAAGGCCGCGAGAGAGAGAGAAAGAGAAGTTATCCCGAGCCGCTCTGTCTACTTCTCGCCTTTCACGCGAACCCTCGTATTTATCGTACCGTTGTGTTTTCTCGTATTCTTGCGTTCGTTCATTCATTCACCCGTCCTTTGTTCCCGTTACGATTCTCCACGTAGATCTACTCTAGCAGAGTATCAAGCTCTTTTACACTTTCCTCGACGACGCTTTCCCCTTTCGCCTTCATCTCGTATAATCGATCCCTCAGAAGAATCATCTTTTCCATTTAACTCTGTTCATCGTTTCTATACTTTCGTTACAAATCCAGTTTATTCCCTTACTCTCTCGCGTAACCCGTAATCGAGCTTGCTCCGAACTTATTCCGACTCATGGCCAGTTAAGTCTATTCTTCGGTTAGCTAACCTTGACTCTCTTATAACATTGTCGTTATGATCTAAAAAAAGCTCGAAAATCCCACCCAAGTAGTAATCTAGAAGTTAGGAGACACTCAGTCATTCTAACCGCCTAACTCGCACAAATGAAAATGGTAAGTAAAAAATGTCCTCTGTTGCCTTGGCTCTACTTGCACGATATCGCGATTTATTCATCCAAATCCCATCTTATTACTCTCTTCTCTCATCTTCCACTTCCTCCCGTGACGAACAATGCTTTGCCATTCTATTTACTCCTTTCGCCACTTACTCTATTTGCTCGTTCACGTGTTATCCACCGAGCCCAGCTCCATTCTCTTCGGAATTCTTTTTCGTTCGATTTTCTCGTATTTTCACCGTTCCGCTTACACCACCAGTATCAATCACCATAGCTGCACCCCTTATATTTTCACCTCGGACTATAATTTCAGGCCGTTTATTTCCTCTCTTCCTGGCGGTCTTCCTTTCCTACCTGTTATCTTCCTTATCTTCTTTTTCAGTCACTGACACTCTAGCTTTATTTCTAACTTTACGTCACATCTCTGTCGCCCTTTCATTCTCTTCCAGCCTCATCTTCTCGACGTGCACCGTTTTAAGTACAAATTTAATCTGTAGTGTTTATTTAAATTTTTCTTGTTTAAAAAAATGTATAACATTCGTATCTAGTTAAAGATTCGCATCTTAAGAAGAACGGCTGCTCTCAACTTTGCACGTATTTCCCGTTTCGCTCTCCTTTCATACTTTTCATGTATCTCATTTCCAGTTTGTCATCATCGAACCAATTCTGCAGATTACGATTTTCACATCACCTTCTCACACTTTTTTCATCTGACAAACGTCCCGACTAGGAATAAAAAGCTCCTTTTTTTTTTCCACCATTTTTCGCTCCTCTTTCGTTTCATTACCGCGGGCCTCACACGTTTCCCTTGTTCATCCGCTAAGTAATGCGTTATTTTTCAGCCTCCTGCTAGTTGCGAGGCAGATACTTCGTCTAAGCCTCCATTCATTCGTCTTCAACAGAAGGTGCAGGTGGCTTCACGGTGGCTTCTCTTCCTTGTTGTTAGTTACTCTAACAACGGCGTTTCGTCGAGGCGAAATAACGCACAATAGGATTTCATTCGTCACTATTGTCGGAGTTGAGCAATTTTTTCAAATGCGTGATAATTGATGTCTCTCAATTAAAAAATAATAATATTATACAACTCATTATACAACTTATATATAATGTATGCATTGATTATTGTAAAAATACACAATTGAAAGCAAGCAGTTTACTTATATGTATAAGGTAATAATTTTACCTGCAAGGTATAAATTTAATGATGCATGTCAATATACACCTTTAATAAATATGGTCTCAATATTACCCACTATAATAATTATAATTTCACATGTAATTGTTTTACAGTGCACGTACGTGCACAATTCTCTAAATGACTCTTTGGATCAGCAATCAGTGTATCATAAATTGTATAGTACGTCCACAATTTGCGATACACTGATTGCTTATTAGACTATTAGATACTGTTTGTAATTGTTAAAAAAATATTAACAAAGATATCTATTGAACTCGCAATATACAAATAGAAACATAAAACTTGCTCCTAATTGCAAGCGTAGAACAATCTAAAAAGCAGTAAAGAGAAACTAAGGATAGATACAAGAAGGACGAGTGCTATGCCGCCAGGTAAATTCTCGACTTTAATGAACGTGCGAAAGAGTGCAACTTGAAGACGAGAGTCACCCTCCGGCAGAGCCAGTAACTTGTCCGTAAGACGACCCTTTTGTGGAACATTCTTGGAATGTTCTACGTTGACAAACAACCGCGATAATAACTTCGATATGGATACGTAATATTTCGAAAATAATACAACGAATGAAAAAGATACATTATTGCAAAGAAATTTAATTTCGAAATAATAGTTATCCCAAAATACCAGTTTTTTTTGTAACTATCGAAGAGAATATGCCAAGTGTCAAAAAGTTGCAATGTCAAAACAAAGTAACACAATATTTAAATGTGCCATCATCATTTTAAATTATTGAGTTAAACGAGTAAATTTTTCTTGTTTGGAAAAATTTGAGGAAAACATTTACTTATAACAAATCTTTCGTCAAGTCATAATAATAACAATTATTATAACGAAATATTTGTACTTCTTAAGCAAACTATCCCAACTTAAGTAAATTAAATATTACATCAATTAAATTAGACGTAAAAATAAAAACATTTCTAATAATTTATATATATAAATGTCGATTACTTTGTTTCTTACTCCCTTTCTTGAATTTAGTCCAAAACGCACTTATCTTTGTGCAACTTTTTTATTCTAGATTCGATGTAATCTTAAGTGCAACAATTTATCACCGTCAAGAAAATCCTGAAAAATCGTCGATAAAAAGGTAGACTTTGTACGCGACGAATAAACTGAAAATTTGAACAAAGCGACGGAAGTAGAGATGTGTCAGCAATATGGTCTTCTTATGGCGGATTTTGCAAATATAACTTCTCAGATTTATAACCGATGCAGCCGCATTTTCCTGAATATATTCCGTAAATGAGAGCCCATGTATTTTCCTCCTTTTCTTTTTTTTCTCCTTTCACGCGGAACTTTTCAATTAACGTCGCGTTTCCGTTTGTAATCGGCGGAGCTTTTTTCATTGGTATAGTTTTTTGCGATCGTTATTGCGGCGGAAAAAGACAAAAAGAAAACTCGCAGCATTGTGCTGATGTTATTGCACCGTGAATTAAAATAGTTGAGTTCTAAATCGAACGGTTCGGTGATAAATAAAATGCACGATTTGCACTGTATTAAAATAGTGAAATGTATATGTATAATTTACAATATTCACAATATTAAATTACACAACTTTATTATACAAAACATGTTATCGTAAACATGTATTTATCTATTATTATTTATTGATTATCTTTAACTGTCATTATTCCGTATAAAGAAATGGTAATTTTAAACGTTTCTTTTTAATTTTTAATTAGTTAATTAAAATAATTAATGATTATTAATATATCATTACTAACTAATTAATTAAACAATTAAAATTTGTTAATAAAATGCATTTCAATTTTATTTAAAAATTCGCACAAACTTATGATTCGACGTAATACTAATAAAATGTATTCATATACACATTAATGATTCAGCAAATGCTCATAATTATTTCAACAATGTCCAAGATTCAAAAAGTAGAAGATTGCATCCAGGAAAAATAATATTTATTTATAAAAACCATTTCACATGACGAGTTTCTAAGTTATTTTAAAAGGTTTAAAAAATTACTTGTTTATTTCAATGTTCATCAATATGTGCATCTTTTGCTGTAATCACCGCTTAAAAAATGTTTGCATTCGTCGAATTAACTTTTAAATGTTCTTACTGATATTTTATTTTATTTCACGCCTCTCATTCCATTTTCTTCCACGTGTTCTCTTTGTTTGTAAAGAGCACAGATTTTTATGAATAAAATAATAATTATATACATTATCAACTGATTGCGAGATAATTGGAGATAGATCGGTGAACGTTATTTTAATTATTAACGTTTAGAACACGTACAATTACAATCAGTATACGCAATAAGAAAAGTATTATTTATTCTGTGCTAATATGGGATATTTATCTAGTTTTTAACATCGGAGTATAAAATATCTGTTATTCAAATAATTATAAGGTAGTTTATGTGAATATACCCTCATTATATATGTATTAGAAAATATTATTGTGGCAAAACCAGGAAATAAAATAAAAAGAAAGATTCGTTATAATGTTTGTACATACAAAGACATATTTTGTTTTAAAAACTGACACTGTTTATTTGAATAAACCTATGTAATGCGTACTAAATACTAAACATTTCTATGCGAAATAACACGGTTGACATACATACTTTTGCGTCGAAATATCTCGCGACGTTTTCTGAAAAATAAAATTGCTATACAAAAAAGAAAACCATTTTGCTTTCACAGCTGGCGAATTCGGAATCTTTGATCCTCAAAGATCAACAGAAATTAAGGACGCGGAATTATCCGACCAAGAACAAGGCCAAGTATTCACAAGCGCTACGAAATGTCCAGTAATTGCGCCAAGTTGACTGCCGAGCCCTTCGTTAAAAATCTGAAACGTCTTCTCTTCCTTTTGTCAATTTGCAGTATTATTAATTGCGACAGAGATCCCGAGAGGTAAAATGCGG